GTGTCAGAGGCAATGAGATTGGCACAGGATAGAGCACAGTTTAAGGCTGTTGTACATAGGGTCGCTATGAGTTGCAAATGACTCGATGGCACATAACAACAACAACAACAATCAAGACTCATGGAAACGCTGGTGGGAAGTCAAATGATTGTATGGCAGCAGGCAAATCAGCTGCCAAAGACCTGTTTAAAGTATTAACGAGCGTGGTTGTCACTTTAAAGACTAAGTTGTACCCGGCCCAAGCCAGATTTTTGTCTTAATCCTGTTTCTTCATGTGTATCTGATAATGAGACAGTGAATAAAGAACAAAGAAGAATTGATGGCTTTGGATTGTGGAGTTGTCAGAAGAACAAATAAGTATGTTTTGGGAGAAGCACGGTTAGAATGTTCCTTAGAAATGAGGGTCCTCAGACTGTCTCATGTACTCTGGGCATCTTATCAGGAGTACGTGCAGAAGGATATCGTGTTAGAAAGAGTAGAGGGTCAGAAAAGGAGAGAAGACGTCAGTGAGATGAATTGATGTAGTAGCTGCAAAAATGAGCTTATCTACCGAAGAGAGGGAGACAAAGGCAGTGGCACTGAATCACGCAGAGTTTTCATGTTTGTTTTTTTTTAAATTTTATCTTATCAATTTTAATGAACATTTACAGAGATTTTGGATTTCCATTCATTCGTTGTAGAGTTTTGATCTGTTGTGTGTAAGGTTGCTATGAATTGTAGTCCGTTGGACAGCACCTCGTAACAGTTGGTTTGTAGGACTGTAGGGCCGGGTACATTTCGGGCTCCATGACCCTGGCACCAGAGGAACTTACTACCGATTGCTCTGAAAGAGATCACAGTAGAAGGTTCCTGATACAGTGGGAGAAAAATATGGTACAAAACTCTCATAGAAAGATATGAATAGATTGAGAAACAGGTCATAGACTCAATAGAATAGTAAGCAAAACTAAAGAATAATGAAGAATTTGTGAAATATGATGTAGCAAGGATGAATCTAGAGGACTATATGCTGAGTGAAGTAAGCCCGTCAGGAAAGAACAAATATTTTAAAATTCCAGTATTATATAAAGGGAGCTCTGGTGGCCTAGTGGGTAGGGAGCTACATTGCTAATCCAGCGGTGACCAGTTCGAATCCACCCAGCTACTCCTCAGGAGAAAGATGAGCGTACTTTCCCCCTGCAGTTTACAGCCTCTGAAAATCAGCTGAGAGGTGGTTCTGACTTCTGACTGTACAGTAATAAGTTGGGTTTGTTGACTATTACAAAAAGGGCAAAGAATGGTTTATGCATAAAAAAAGTAAAGACATTCTCCATATTTTGTTGATGGGGTGTTTTCCTACGCATACAGGTAATTTATGAGACTCTAAATGGTTATCACGACTTTGCAGTGCAATTGGGTAGTGTCTTTCTGGTGCTACAGTTCTATTCCTGGGGATCAAATAATAGCAGTGATAATAATGTTCTGAAACAGAGAAACACACAAGGGAGGCATTGAGATTGCATCTTCTTTTCCACAAATCAAATAGGTGGCTGGCTCTCACGTTGTGGGTGCTGACCTGTTTAAAATGTTATTTAGCCATTAAACAGTGAGACTGTTGTCTGTGGACAGCCCGCAGGGTAAATTTTTGAGGGGGAGGTAACTTTCAGAATTACTTATATAGCATTGGCTTGTCTCATTCTCCACACCAGCCCAGAACATTGCCTGTCTGTCGGCAGCATATTCAGTGTACATCGAGGCTTTGTGGACACAGAGAATTCTGGAAGGCTGAACGCACCATCCCATCAACATTAGTTAAGCCTGATATGAAGAACGCATGGGATACCATGAGTGACAGCACAATTACCTCTTGATTTGTGAAATAATACCCTCTTGCTTCTGTGACTTAACCTTGGCTGTTCTTTACACCCCCAGATAAAAGCAGAAGATGACCAGCCCCTCCCTGGGGTCCTCCTGTCCCTCAGTGGTGGCGTGTTTCGTTCCAACCTCCTGACTCAGGACAATGGCATTCTGACCTTCTCAAACCTGGTGAGGTGTCCTTCTGTGACCTGTTGTCCCCAGAGCATGGGGATGGAACGCACTGGGCTTGTGTATTATTTACTTGACAATGTGAGAACAGAAGACCAACTCGAATGGTTTACATTTCATTAGGGATTGGATGTAATTAGAGTCTTGTTCATACTAGAACTTAAATGCCACTGATTCATGTTACCTTCCACGCACACTTCTCACTTCCTGGTCACCTACTTGTCCCTAGGACAATGTAATTAATGACCCCTGGGCACAGTGGCTCTCTTAGACCCTGGGCTCCCACGGTGGCGTCACATTGCAAAGTGTCAGGTTGCATTTGGTGTTCTTTATTTGTTGCAAAGCCGCAGACATCACTGGAGTCTAGGCTGAGATGGTGGCAGGAAGCCAGGCTCCCATGTCACTTTCCTTAGTTCAGAGGCTCCTGCGCGTCCATGAGCCCAGAAGCAAAGGGACAGCAGCCCTGCCTCCTGCATTCTTCCCTGGGTCTTTTGATGTTCAGCCTGTAGGAGATGCCACTGCTGGTAGTGGGGTGGGCACAAGTGGACTGAGTTAGCCTGGCTGCTGTCGGTGTTGCTTCTTCGGGACTCCTTTGCTGTGCCTGTTTCTGGCTTCTAAGAGGCACAAGAAGTGGCCTGGCGACACCTTTCTCACAAGAAAGAAAAAGCATTGGGAGGCAAGAGAAGAAGTGGCTAGGGAGTCGCACAGGCTGGCCTCGAACCTGGCTCTGCATGGCCAGGACTAGCACTAGTTTTCCCTGTGAGATGTGGTCTGAGGGCCTGACTGGCAGGCAACAGGGAGTCCTTGTGAGTTAGCACACTTATCAGGGGAACAAAAGGACTGTTCCGGGGAGGCCTCCGAAAGATCACCGGCTCGTAGGCTGCACACCCAGCTCAGGTCTAACGTTGGTCACTTTCTGTGTCAGCTCAGGCCGATTCCTCTCTGAGCCTTAGTGTCTTCATATGCCTTCACCACCCACCAGATGCTCTGCTGGAGAAGGAGGGGGCAATCTCCTCCTGTACCAGTCAGATCTGATTTGACAGTATACGTAAAAATAATACATATGCCTTCACCACATCCCACCTCTCCCTCACTGACTGCTGGACCGTTGCCGTCTTTAGAATCGTTGAATTGCTTTGGTGCAGTTATTTACTGTAGGGCGAGGGCTACCCTTTCTGTTGGATTAGGAAGCCTTGCGGCTCTGGTGGCGTAATTCTGGCCGATCATAACTTTAATGTCCTCCTTCGTGACTGGAGACACATCTCTAGATGCAGATGTTGTGCTTGTCTCTCGCAGAGCCCTGGGCAGTATTACTTTAAGCCTATGATGAAGGAGTTCCGCTTTGAGCCGTCCTCCCAGATGATCGAGGTGCAGGAGGGACAGAACCTGCGTATCACCATCACTGGGTACCGCACGGCCTACAGGTGAGTAGCGCCCGGCTGGCAGGACGCCCTCCAGTCCCCCGGCCGCTTTATTTTGAGAGGCAAGGGAGCTGCGGTCAAAGGTCAGGAGGGTTGTGACTGCTGCCCTTTCCTTCTAATCCCTCTGAAACCGGTGGTTCAGTCACCAGGTTCCTGAATCAAGCTGATGTCTGAAATTCTTGAATTTCAGTTTTTAAAAGTTTTAGCTTTGAAGTCAAAACTGGAAAGAAATGCCTTCACTTGGGTAAAATTAAGAATATTGAAAGGTGTGTCCAGTGGCGGAGTCCTCCTGTTCCTGTCTCAGCTCACTGGCAGTGGGTTTGGTAAACACATGCCACTATTTATGCACACATTTGTATGTGTCTGCATATCCCTGCCTTATATAGTACATGTAAAATGTCACTTAACACACAGAGAGTACATGTTTTAGGTGAGATATGTGGAATAAAAGAACATATAGCATAAAAGGGCTAGTGATTTATTTTCTTTTTCTAGAGTACTTTATTCCTTAAAATCTAGAAAAATTAGAATAAAATAAAATTGAGCCTTTTTTTATCATTTTCTGGTGCTCCCTTTAGAATGTGGGGAAAGAGGAATGAATGACGGCCTTTCCCTCAGCTGGGAGGCCGTGTTGGACGTGGCACAGCTTGAGCAGTTGCCCAGGGCATAATTCTCCCCTGGACAGCTTTGTACCGTCCAGTGTTGGTAAATGTGGGACGCTATCCCTGGGCTCCTTTGTGTGTTTTAGGAAACCACCCGGATATAACGCTTTGTTTCTTATCATTTCAGTTGCTACGGCACAGTGTCTTCTTTAAATGGAGAACCAGAACAGGGCGTGGCCGTGGAAGCTGTGGGACAGAACGACTGTAGTATTTACGGAGAAGACACCGTGACAGACGAAGAGGGGAAGTTTAGGTTACGTGGCTTGCTGGTGAGACTCTTGGGAATGTTTTGTTAGTGGATATCTGTTTTTCATACTATGCAGAAATATGTTCTGGTGCCTCCAGAAGTTCTGGGAATGTGATTGACAAGGGATCAGAACCTCTCCACCCCCATCTCAGTGGACACAACTTGCTTTTTACCCACCTGACTTGCTGTTTTGGGATCCTGTGACTAAAATAAAGTTTGGCAACGATGATTTTGGTGCACCACTTGGTGGCTATGGCTTAAGTCAACGAAGTCAACGATGTCAAACTAAATAAATGCCTGTGGGTCCCCGAGTGAGGATGGTACACAATAGGGAGTCATGAGGAGTGTGGTGGGTTAGAGTGGGCGTGAACTATGGACGGGGGCAGGTACCACCCAATCCAGTCCATTACTGCTGAATGGAAAGACAGGCTCAATATTGTGAAGGAGTTTAAGTTTTTAAAAGAGAACTTAGAAACTCAGATTTCCATGTGAAAACGCTTGATTTAAAATATTAGCTATCTGTGAAAAACGATAAATCAGAAACCCCCTGCAGCTTCTTTGTGTGTGCCAGACAAAAACAAATTTTGGGGAACTGGTGACATTTGTGGTGCTTCCCCCCGCCCCACTCAATTGTTATTTGTTGGTCCTTTCATTCCTTAAGTATTTAGTGTGCACGTTAGCCGTCACCAGGAGAACGGTCTGCTGTAGGATATCCTGTCGGGATTTGAGCCATTAGGATGTGGGGTTTGGCTTCTTGCCTTTTAGATCCAGATGCCACAGTGCTTACGTACAGGTCGAGAGAAAGACTAGTTAGCAGCGAGGAGAGGGCGAGCACCGTGCTTGGAGTTTGCAAATGCAAAACTAAATAAAATGTTCCCTGGGTAGAAGAATTGAGATGAAATCAGTTGCAGAACTTGAAATAAATCTCTCTTTATCAGGATTGCTTTTCAAAAACCTTAAAATATATATAACAAAAAAAGAACCATTGTAACCTTTGAAACTGTGAAGTGTGCAGTTCAGTGACGTTCACCGTGCTGCGCAGGCATTACCAATATCGATTTCCAAAAGTTTTTGTGGCCCCCAGTGGAAATTCCATGTCTCTTAAGCAATACCCTTGTCTCTCCCCTCTCCACAGTCCTTTGTAACCATTGATAAACTTTTGTTTCTATGCATCCACCTATTCTAGATATTTCCTCCCAATGAGATCATACAATATTTGCCCTATTTTTTTTTTTTGTTTTATTTTCTATTTTTTGTGTGTGTACCGTCAGATCAGATCAGGAGGAGATTACCCCTCCTTCTCCAGCAGAGCATCTAGTGGATTCAAACCATGTGCCTTTGAGATTGTAGTGCAGCTTCTTGCGCCACCAGAGCTTCCTAATATTTGCCCTCTTGTGTCTGATTTATTTCAATGAGTATAGTATTTTTAATACTCATCCTTGTTGTAGCTCTGTCATCCCTTGATACCTGTTGATAACAGAATAATAGCCCATTGTGTAGATAAAGCATTTCCGTTTTATACATTTGTTGATGAACTCTTGGGTTGAGTCCACCTCTTATGAATATGCTGCAGCGGCTTTTAAAGATGATCCTTTCAAGAGGGTTGACCTGTTACAGAGGGGAAAATGAAATGGGAGGAGGTATTCCCATCGTGGTGTCCATGTGCGATCAGACCAGGCTTTGGTCGAGTTTCATATGAACACACTCTTTCTGGAGATTTGACTGCTGGTTTCGTTTGCAGCCGGGGTGTGTATACCACGTTCAGCTCAAGGCAGAAGGGAATGATCACATTGAGCGGGCCCTCCCCCACCATCGGGCCATTGAGGTAAGCTATTAAATGCTTCTGCTGAATCTTAATATGATTGCTTCCTTGATGAGAAATATTTTAGAACTTCTCTGGCTGCATTTCAAGTGTTGTGGGGGTCGCTTGGAATCCTAATTAAGGGTCTTCTTAAGAACTGTGACATCTTCACATGTAGCATCTTATGTGAGTGGGGGTTTTAAGGAACAGCGATTCTGTCATGTGTTCAGAAAAGAAATTTGAACTCTTGCTTTCCCCCCACCTCCCCTTGCCATGTAAGCCTAGATGATTATTCTCCAGGGGTCTTGAGAGTGAGAAGTATAGGAACAGGGAGCTTAGTGGGCTTAATTGGTAGCAAGACCATCTAGTCTTATATTCAGTTGCTCAGATTTATTCCATTTGGTGAGCAGAGTCCCTTAATAATCAAGATCATGACTTAGCTAAACTGACCCCTACAGAGGCCAGCTCCAGTTCCAGGATATGGCCAGGTCCATCTGCCTCCAGTTCATGGTGATGGCCAGGCCCATTTGAAGTCTTTCCTGAGCAACTCAATTTGTTGGACTCAAGGACTTGGGTGGAAGAGAGAGACTGACTTTCTGTCTTTCTGTCTGTCTGTCTTTCTTCCATCCATCTATCTATGTCTGTTTTCATGTATTTCTCTGGCATCCAGCATTAGAAAGGGATGGGGTAGCTGCATCTCACACAAAAATGCCTTACAGCTCAACTATTTCCCTACAAGGGTGATGAGGTCAGGGTCATAGCAGTAATGTGGACCAGGCCAGGCAGATATAAAGGAAAGAAGTGTGGAGTCCGAGGTCTCACAATCTGGCAAGCCAGGTATCGCCCACCTGGCAGCAGTTTGCGCCCTTAGTTACTTCCATGCAAACTCTTCTCACTTAATGCAGTTAAGTGCCATTAGCTCTGAAGTGGGTCTCAGACCACCCAACAGCCAGCTTTTCCTCCTCCAGCTTTCTCACCTTCAGTGTTCCTCTTTTTCCAGGTCGGGAACAATGACATCGATGATATAAACATCATAGTTTTCCGGCAGATTAATCAATTTGATTTAAGTGGCAATGTGATCACTTCCTCTGAGTATCTTCCAACCTTGTGGGTAAGCTCGAGACCAGCTTTCTAAGGGGAAAGTATTTCATACCTTCTGGCGTTAACACGAAGAAGAGGCTTTTGTGCGTGTGTCTGGCCCTTGCTTTAAGCACTGAGTGTGGACGTTCTGCCAAGTGCTGCCTGCTGAGGGCTAGTGTGGGGATTGAAGACCCTCTGGTCATAGCATGTATTCAGGAGAGCGATTGCTGAGCAGCTGAGAGAAATGTGGGCTGATTTCAGACCACTGTTTTCCCAGCAGTTTGTCTTTGGAGTGAGTGTTGCAAAAGCCCAGGGACTAATCATTCCAGTCTATAGTCTAACATGGAATGAGTCTTAAGACAAAGTGCCTCATAATTTATAAGATCTGTCTGGAATGAAGATGGTGTGCACTCAAGCCAGGCAGGCTGGGCTTTTCCTGTCCCTATCACCGTGTGGCCTTGGGGAGATCACTTCAGGCCCATGTGCCTTGAGTTCCTCCTCTTGTGAACTCAGGGTATTGGACTCCATGAGCACTTGAAGCCTCTTCCACCTGTAACAAAATTTCCATGTTTGTAGTTAGGGAAGAAATACTTATAAAATGCCCTGCAATCCCTTAGACATTGTTAAAGAATCGCTGTGGGCATGTATTGCTCAGAGCTTGTTCAGTTTTATGTACAGTTTGGGATGTGGCTTGATTGAGAGCATCAGTTTAGGTGTGAATTGACCTGCTAACTACCCTTAAGTCCTGGGCTTGCAAACCTGTGTGGAGATTTGCAGGCGGGCAGCATGAGAGTGTAAGTGAGGAAGGCTGGATGGGTTTTGAGACAAACTAGAGAAACCATGTCTTGTCGGGAGGGTGGGGTGGAGGGAATGGGGACAGCCATTGTGTTGCTGCCATCTTAAATTTCCAGCTCAGAGTTGGTACCATTTCCTAAGTTCTTGATAAATGGGAAATTAGAATTATTTGCAGTTCTTTGATTGTTAAAGATGGATGATGAATTAAAATTTAGTTTTAAATCCTCTTCAGAGCAAAAGAACACACATTTAATTCAATGACAAACCCTGTCCTTGAATGTAGAAGTTGTATTTGGTTTTTTGTTTGTTTTATTGAAATTTTAATGAAAGTTTACAGAAGCCTTAAGCCTTGAATTTCCATTCATTCATTGTTGCACAATTTCCCCCCCCCCCCCCAATTCCTCTAGAAGTGGTATTTGCCATGGCCTGGTCTGGACTGTGGCTCCCAGGTCTTGAATCTAGGACCCTTGTCTTCTGTGCCATAATATGCACACAGCATTAGCTTGGGCGCTGGACCAGGGCTCTCTGACATTCTCTACGGCAGGTGCAGGATGCCATCTCACAGTCTTTAGACAGGCTGCATGTACCTTCCTCTTGCTCATACTCCAGTGCACAAGCTGTCAAAACGGGCAGCGGACCCAGGCCCCCGAGAAATAAAGGCCAGACACTGTACTGCTTCTTAAGGCAGCCCAGAGAATCAAGTGCCCCAGGTGGAATTAAAAGACCACATCATTTTGGGGAGACAGGACAAGGTGGGCAAGGCCCAGCATCACGTGGACTCAGCCCCACACTCTGCCATGTATGGGTCCTACCTCCGCTGTCTTTTTCTCCGGCTTTCTGTGGGGATAATAATAATACCTGTTTTCACTCATTGGTGATTCAAAGAGCCTGTTGCATGCCTGGGGTATTATAGCTACTCAACAAATGTTGACAGCTATTTTTTTTTTAACATCCTTATAATAACTATTATTATTCTTTTGAGTGATAACTGAGATTAGGGCCTATTTAAAACCTTGCATTTCAATGTGTGGCATGTTAGAAGAATCTGAGCTGATGGAGGGAATGCATTATGTAGCGCCTGTCAGGGAAGCATGGTTTCTCATTCAGATAACCGTGTTTCCCAAGATTCCACCTCCCGTCCCCAAGAGAGGAGCTGTCCTGGGGACGAGTGAGAGGAAATGTTTATCGGGTTTTAGTGTCATGGGCACGCCCTGTTCTGTTTCTCTTCCAGGTAAAGCTTTACAAAAGCGAGAACCTCGACAATCCAATCCAGACAGTGTCTCTCGGCCAGTCCCTCTTCTTCCACTTCCCGCCCCTGCTCAGGGACAGCGAGGTAATGGCGGGGGCTCAGCGCTGGTGACAGCTTCGTCGTGAATAATTCCACTTTTGAGTTTCAAGGAAACATGGTTCTTCTGCTTTCCTCGCAGATACCGTTCTCCAGAACTGGTTGGAGTGGTGTCCTCTGAATCAAAGGAGATTGGGCTCTGAGGGGATTAGTGTTTCTTAATTAGCTGTTTTTCTCTTTATAAAAGGACATGCATTCGCAGCAGGGGGTTTGGGAAGAAATGAAAAGCAGCCGTAATCCCCTCATGCAGAAGTAACCACCATTAAATGTTGTTAATAGGAGCTCTCAGTGGCTGAGGGCGCTTGCGTGTGAGGGAGAAGTACGCATGTGAACATGTATAAATTCATGCACTTTTTGAGGAACCCTCGTATTTAAGGCAAAGTCTTTACATTATTGCTGTGTATTATTTTGCCAAACACAACCTTTCTAAAATGACCCTTTTCTTTCTTTACATTTACGTACAGAACTATGTTGTTGTGTTGGACTCCACGCTCCCCAGGTCCCAGTACGACTATGTCTTGCCTCAAGTCTCTTTCACTGCTGTTGGCTACCATAAACACATCACTTTGATTTTTAATCCCACGGTAAGTGTGAGAGGGAGTTAAAAACAGAAGTGGGAGGGGGGAGAGCAGTTAAAGCTGCGCAATGCGGGCTCCGGCCTCCGGGCCGGGCCTCCGGTGGAGGATGCTGTCAAAGGGCGGTCAGCATCGGGTCTGGGTCACTCGCACATTCTGCATTTCCTCAAACCCTCTGCTACTTTTCAAGGATTGATGCCTCCAGTTCCCTGTGAGGAGGAAATGGGCACTGAGAGGGGTTCATTGACTTCCCCTGGTTTGGGAAAGGCTGGGGCTCTGTGTGTGTGTGTGTGTGTGTGTGTGTGTGTGAGAGAGTGAGAGACAGACAGACAGAGAGAAAGTTCCTTCATAATTGGTGGTTCTAGGAGATAAGTCATGGAGATCTGGAACCTTCAGAACCAACTCCGAACTTACAGGTAATACAGAGGACATGGGAGCATGAAAATGACACTTCAGTCACCTTTAAGTGGTGAGACTCTCCTGGATAAAAAATCTGAAATCTGATTTCTTCTACAAATATTTGGAAGCAGGAGTGGCATCCACTTCCTAAATAAACATGCCTCTGAAAACTCTATGAACTTTAATAAATGTTGATAATTTTAGAAGGGCTTCAGGCCTTTTGTTCATCGGGTCACTGTGAGTCATGCTCGACTTAGAGGCAATCAACAACAACTACAAATACATTGTTTGTTGTTAAGTGCCGTCGAGTCGGCAAGTGACTCATAGCGACCCTATGAAGGAGAGTCCTCAATGCTTGGGTGCCTTTCATCCTCTCTCCAGGTTCATAGGGTTTCTGGAGGCAAGCTGTTATGGAAGTGGATGCCACTCCTGCTTCCAAGACAAATAGAAAAGGAAAAAAACCCCTCCTAAAATTAAAAACTAAAAAAAAAAACACCCAAAACCAAAAACCTAAATTCAAAGAAACTTAATAAATTTCTCAACCAGTTGGGAAATGTGGATCTTAACTGGGTTTTGCATCAGACAGATGAACAGACTGTAACCAGTAACGGAACAAAACACACACCACTTTCATTTTTATGAGATGATGGTTTAGATTGATGGTTCCCAAAGTTAGCTAAATAACCACATCATTGGCAGCACAAACAAATCCAGGATCTGCTCGTCCTGAACCTATGAGGACAAGAGTGGAGCCCAGGGATTGACATAAAAAACCAAATAGTCTGGCCTCGTGCCTACTGGATCATTATTTCTAGGCCATTTTCAATGGGAAGAGAAGGAATTTTATGTACAGGTAACTATATAGAGCAGTATCTGTTGATCTATGAATAATAGGCTTGTAGGTGTTTATATTTTTACCACTTTCAGTTTGGTGACATGGCACGTTTCTGTGATCCTAGAATCTGTCACTGGCATTTCAAGTATTAGGGTCACCTATGGTGGGCAGGCATCGATGGAGCTTCTATTCGGAGACAGAACAGGAAGAAGGGTAGGTTGTCTGCTTCTGAAGAATTCTGGCCACTGAAAACCTTATGAATTTATGAATAGTGGCACGTCCCCTGATACAGTTCCGGAAGGTGAGCCCCTCAGATGGCAGGCACTCAGACTGGGGAAGAGCACCCTCTTCAGTGTAGAATCTACCTCAAATAACACGCAGAACAAGGTTCCTGGGCCTTCATTTGCTGCTATGCCACAATTCAGGATGAGAAGAGAGAACTGCAAATATTGACTAGAAGCTGGACTGTGAGACTATGAAGTATGAATCTAGAAAAAGTAAGTTCTCATAACCTGGAATGGAATGCATGAAGAGCAATATCCACAGGCCTTAGTGAGCTGAGATCAACCTATAGTAGACGTTTGGAATGAGACCAGTATACACTCTACTACAAAGAGGAATGAGGGCACGTTCATTGTCAAGAACATTTCAAGACTGATCTTGAAGTATAGCACTGTCAATGGTAGAATAATAGCCATTCCCCTACAAGGAAGACCAGTTAATATGACCATAATTCAAATCCACACACCACCCACTGATGTCAAAGATGAAGAAATTGGAGATTCCTTCCGGCTTCTGTAGTTGGATGTTGGTCAACGTGCCCTCAGGATGTGTTGATAATTACTAGTGATTGGAATGCAAAGCTGGAGATAAAGAAGAAGGGAGAAGGACATAGGGCCTTGGTGACGGCATTGGGCAGCTCATGATCGAATTTTCTGCGACTGGTGACTGCCTTGTCTCTGCTATCTTATTCAACAACATAAATGGTAACTATCCATGTGGGTCTTGCTGTATGGAATACACACAAAGCAAATCATCTGTGTCTGTGCAGAGAGATGTTGAAGAAGCTCAGTATCAAGACCAAGCAGTATTTTACTCTACAATATGTACAGTCTTGATGGGTCAGAGTTTACTTACCAGCACTTAACAATAACAACAACATAGTTATATTTGTATATAGATAGATTTAGACACTCTTTATTCGTTTTGTAGCTGTGTACCTCTCTGTCATTTAGATACACCAGATTTCTTGGTATTTTTGGTGGTGGTTACTATTATATTTACGCCTTTTGTGAATTGCCTTCTGTGTACATATTTCTGCATTTCATCTTCAGAATAGATGTTAGAAGTGGAGATGGAGGATCAAAGGGTGAACACGTCTGTAACTGTGTACAATGTTGCCAAATTCCTCTCATTGCTGTTGCTAACAGCATGCTGACAGATTTTTGAACTTTCACATTCTAATAGAAAAGAAGTGGCATCTTGATGTAGTTATTTGCATCTTTCTTATCTTTTCATATTGTTAAGAATTATTTGTATTTCCTTCCCTGTAAGCTGTCAGTCGATTTCTGAAACCCATTTCCTATGGTGTGAGGAGCTGCATTTATCTCTTGTTTTAGAAACTCTTTGTCGATTAAGGATATTAACCTTTTGTGATTTCCCTGCTTGTAATTTATCTTACGGAACAATTGCTTTAATTTTATTTTTGTGTTAAACATGTCGATTATTTCTTTATCGCTTCTAGATTTTGAATCATGATTAGGAAGATTTTTTTTTTCTTTTAGGTTTTAGAAGACTCACATTTTCTTTTCTTTTGGTACTTGTGTGGTTTCATTCATTTTTTACACTGAAATCTCCACTGATTTGGAAATTTTCTGAGTATGTCAAAGATTGTTTCCTAATTTGGCCTAGTGATTAAAGTGTTCAGTTATTAATAGAAAATTCAGTGGTTTGAACTGACCAGACGCTCAGTGAAGGAAAGATGCTGCAGTTGGCCTCTGGGAAGATGGCCAGCTTTTGAAACGATGGAGTGGTTCTGCTGTGTCCTCAAATGTTGTTTGGTATTGGAATTGACTCAGTGGCACTGGACAGCATGTCATGCAGTTACTGTTCAGTGCTTTGAAAAAGCATTCTGTATCTCAGCTCTATTTTTCTTGGAGTATATTCCTTGCTGTGGAGTAGCTGGGTCATAGGGGATTTTTATGTTCAGCTTTTTAAGGAAATGCCAAACTATCTTCTCGAGTAGTTGTACCGTTTTATAGTCCCACCAACAGTGTGTGAGCATTCCAATCTCTCTCCAACATTTATTGCTTTCTGTCCTATTAAACTTTGCCACTGCTACTGGGGTGAAGTGTTATCTCATTGTGGTTTTGTTATGCATCTCTTTTATTGCTAGTGATTGTGAGCATTTCTTCATGTGTCTGTTGACCATCTCACTGTCTTCCTCTGTGAAAAGTCTTTCCATGTCTTTGCCCATTTTGTAATTGTAATTACCAGTATTTTTCTTGTGGAGGCCCTGCAATACTTGGAGATTTGTACACTGAAATTTATAGCAGCATTATTCACAATAGCAAGAAAATAGAAACAGCCCAAATGTCCATCACCAAATGAATGCGTTGAGAAAGTATGGTACATTCACACGATGGAGTACTATGCGGCACTCAGGAGCAATGATTTTGAAAAATAATATATAACGTGGGAGAGGCTAGTGACCATTATGCTGAATGAACTCAGTCTCACAAGGATAAATACTGCACGAGACCATTATTGTAAAAGTAGAAGGATAACTAGTAAGATGTGTGTAAAAGTCCAGGAGGTCAGGGGCCTGAGAGTGAAGAGGGGGGAAATCATGGGGTCACAGAGTTTGGTGACTGAAGAGAGGGAGTGAAGGAGTTAGGAAAGATCCACCAGAAACCCAAAAAGACAAGGTGACAGTGGGCATATGTCAGTGGTGATTAGTTTTATAAAACACAATGTCTGGGAATGAAACACAATGTGAATGAAGGAGTGTGTGAAGCACAATGTATATGAATTAAACACAATGTATATGAATTTTGTGTACAGACCAATATAAAATTTTAAAAAAGCGTTCTGTCACGGAAGTTGGCAGAAATAATTGCAGATTCAGAGATGAAGAGATGGGGACTTGGACAGTTGTGGCCAGCCCAGGGTCACCATCTCGAGCGTAGGGATGGGCCGGAACCACAGCTGGCTTCCCAGGCTTCTCTGAGGAGTGGTCTTACAGTTCTCAGAGCACAGGACAGTCTTGCTTGAAGTAGAGCGTTTTTCCTGAGACCCCAGGAGGAAGCTCTTCCTTGTTCCCCAGTCCTAATTAGAAAGTGCTGGAAACAAGCACACAGGAAACTGTCTCTGTGAGGGGCACGTCAAGACCCCGAGGAGCGTGCGAAGTCCCTGTGAAGGCATGACAGGCACGGACCCTGACGTTCTGGGGGCTCACCTGAGTCCAGAGGGCACAGGCAGCAGGTGTCAGGAGCTTCAGGACGCTGCTGGTGGTGGTCAGGCAAGCGCCTCCCTGGAGCTGCTGGTGGGAGTGTGCATTCCTGGGAATGGCCAAGTTGACTGTCCAGATGCACCACGTTTTTCTGGTCCGTTAATCTGTTCTGAACCCTTGGATTGTCTCTGCCTCTTGTGAACAGTGCTGTCTTAGAGTCCCCACTCTCAAGTCTCTTGTTTGTACACCTAGGACTGGATTTCCAAGTCAGAGGGTAATTTCATGTTCACTGTTTGGAGAAATTGCCAGACTATTTTCCACAGGGGCTGCACCATTTAAAATTTTCAGCAGCATTGCATGAGAATGCCAGTTTTCCCATTCTCACTAATAATTTTATTTTCTGATTTTTTAATAATGGCCATCCAAGTGGGTGTGTCTTACTCCTGTTAGGTGCAGATGAGTCAGAACTGACTCATAGCTGACCCTCCAGCAGGAGATTTTCAGAGGCGGTAAATCACATGGGAGGCAATTGCCCATCGTCCTCTCTCAGGGCAGCTGGTGGGATTGAACCATGTTTCTTTGGATTGGCAGCACAATTCCTTACCACTAAGCCACCAGAATGGCCTAAGCTTTTAATGGGGCATATAACTTCATGGAAAATAAGCTGAGATCTAAGACATTTTAAAAATACAGAAATAGGAAGTTGAGGTGGTTAGCAGTCCTTGTTGTTCCGTTTACTGAAGGACCATCCCATCCTGCTTCCACTGTCTTGGGTGATAAGGACCTTCATCACTCTTCAGCGGTTCTCAAATGATCTGGCTTTAGGACTTCTTAAAAATTCTTCAAAAAGAAATGATCTCTAACTGCTCTTATTTATGTAGTTTTAGTTCTCTGTATTTATTTATAGACATTAAAACTGAAAAATGTAGGAAATACAAGAATCCGCAGCCCACACATTCAGTTAGCTGTCACCAGTGATACCATCATGTCACACAGCCTCTGGAAAACTCGGGTGTGGACTTAGGAGAGAAGGAGGAGGCTAAAGGCGAACGCCGGCAGAGTACACCTATGAAATAAGCGCTGATCTTGTAAACCTCCTCAACAGGTGGCCCCCAGATCGCCCTTTGAGAAGCCATGCTTTGGCCCCTTAACTTGTGTGACCATAATCTGAAAGGTCTCATTTAATTAACTTGTTTCCTTTGCTCAGGCAGGGCAGGTGTGGGTTCAGCTCCCTGTCCAGAGACCCAGAATTCCAGAGGATTTAACAAGATGAAGGTTTCCCCCCCATGTCCTGTATCTAGCAGTGGGCAGTCCAGAGCAGTCCACAGTGCTGGTCTGCATGCTGTCCATCCAGCAAGAAGGCAGGCCTCACCATTTGTCCTGGGCCACAGCGTGGATCGTACCCCGAGCATGTCTGTGTGTGATTGGCTACAATCCCATGAACATACCTGTTCTCAGGGAAGTGGCATCAGTATGCCAGTTGGAGAGTTCTGTAAGAAGAAAAGAGGTCCTTTGTGGCATAGCAGATTGAGTGTTGGTCTGCTAACTGAAAGGTCAGCACTTGGAGCCCACCACCCAGTCTGCAGGATGATGAGACAGCCTCCTTTCGTTAAGTTTACGGCCTCCGAACACCAACAGGGGCTTGCTGTGAGTCAGAACCAGCTTGGTGGTGGAGGATTTTCGGGAGAGAGGCGCGGGCTGCCAAGCCTCAGGCAGCGGGCCACTTGGCTTCCTCTTCAGTTGTCATCTCTGGGACCATCTGCCCAGTGTCTGGAACAGTGGGTCCTTGGCAGCCTGCTAGGAAAATGTCCGTGAACGTATTGGGGACTCAGTAAAATGAAACTCCTATTACTTCTTAGCCATAAAGATTCCCTGCTGTCCAGGTCTCTTCAGTTCTCAGATTGAATAGGATAAATTCAGCGGGAGGAACACCTTGTCATTGGAAGGTGTTTGTTCCTGAGCTTTGGATAGTAGGTAATTCACCTGAAAATTGACCCAAGTTATTTCAGTTCCTCACATTGGATAGCGAGAGCGTGGATTGCACGGATACTGGAATGTCTTTGGGTAGCTGATTTGGAGGTCTGAGCAGATCATAGCAGTGCAACTGAGGATGGTAGACAAATTGGAGAAATGACTGTGCATTAATGCCTTTTCTTGGTATTTGCAGAGAAAATTGCCTGAGCAAGACATTGCCCAAGGATCCTACATTGCTCTGCCTCTGACGCTGCTCGTTCTGCTGGCTGGTTACAACCATGATAAGGTAGGGAGTTCCCAGACTGCATGAGAAAGGAAGGGTGTGCCACCGAGGGCTGCTTGAAAATGACCAGCGTCGTAGAAATTACACAGTTAAAACAGATGTGGTGATCAAATACGTCTACTTAAAATTTGCCAGAGAAGTTCTAAGTGTACATTTTAGTGACATTTATTCCATGTACACTGCTTTGCCTTGTTTCCAAGTTTTTCCATTCCTCTCAACACAAATTGTTTCCATTACACAATAGGATCCCACCCAACGCTGCACCTTTGTATCTGGCGGCTTCCGCTGAGCGTGTGTGTCTTCAGGGCTCATCTCTGTTGTCAGATGTGTTAGAGCTTTAGTCTTCTTCTTGGTCAAATGATAGTCCATGTGAAAAATAGACCACCTTCAGTTTACCCGTTTTGATAAATGTTATCAAATTTTATCCATGTTGATAGACACTTGGATTGTGTCCAGAAGTTAGAGAATTTTAGGGTTGGAACAGATCATAAGCAATTTATGCTGATGTTTGTGAGGTGAGGGTCAGGTGCAGCTCCTGTTTCCCTCTGGCCCATTACTTCTCACACCAGCGGCTCCTCCAGGGCACTTGATATTTCACTGCTGAATTTGGTAACAGTGCACACAGAACTCACAGACTAGACTCATGATCATGTAGCTTTTTGGGGTAACACAGAATTAATTCGGTAAACACAGAAGTATGAGCTCTGGTGGCTTAGTGGCAAGAAGCTGCGCTGCAATTCAAAAGGCGCACAGTTTGAGGCTACCGGTTCACGAGAGAAGGATGGGCAGTCTCCTCCTGTGCAATTAACTGCCTCTGAAAACCCGCCGGAGGGTCAGCTGTGGGTCGGTTCCGACTCTCTGGCACACAAAACCAACAACAAGCACAGAGGTATGGGGTGCGGTTCAGGATGCAGTTTGGTGTTAACCTAAGATTCATGGGATTCCAGGCTGTGATGAAGTAACGCAGGAGAAATGGATGAAGGGACTTGGAGCAGAGAGCAGACTCTGCCTTTGTCCGTCATCCAGCAGAGGCTCCGGGGTGGCTCCGAGAGGGCCCTGCTTGCTTCAGGCTGCGCTGCGCTAGGCCAGCATCATCACAGTTCCTGAAGTGCTGCTGCTCTCAGGACGCCCCCTTTGGGGTGTCCCCACTCTTGTGGCTCCCTGTTTCCTGGGCTCAGCCTTTCACCTCAGCTTCTGCACATTCTCACTGCATCTTTTGAAGTCACTGTAGCCAGCGCCGCTGGACACTATTCCGTACACAACTCTGAGCGTGCAAGGGCTCTCCATTCAGGTGAGGGAGGGCTTCTCGTGTGCTGTGTCCTCCCTCTTGGCCCTCCACCGACAAGCTCTGTGCTTCAGCCTGTCAGATGAGCCAGCCTTGGTGTATAACCAGGTGCGTCCCAGCCCAGAGGAGCCCATCCTCAAGGAGCTCAGGAATCTGGACCAAAGGCTGCGCTCCTTTCCATAAGGTGATGCCAGGCATCACAGGTGCTACCTCGACCTTCCCTCCAGACTCCCTTCCTTGTTAACCTTTTTAAGTACTCCCGGTGATGTTCACTGAGATACCCACTCACCTGTGGGGGCACTCTGGTGCCCTGGTACCCACGGTGGGTGTGGCCTTGCAGGAGGGAGAGTGCTGATTGGTGTGTGGCCCTCAGAAAGGCCCGCCCTCCTCGCCCGCCCATCTCTATCTGTCTCACTCCTTCTCCTCTTCCTCCAGCTCATCCCTTTGCTGCTGCAGTTGACGAGCCGACTGCAGGGAGTCCGTGCCCTCGGCCAGACCGCCTCTGACAGCAACGGCCCCGAAGATGTGAAAAGACAAACCAAGAAACAGAAGACGCGGCGGACGTGAGGGCGGCGGGGCGGCTGAGAGTGCGCTGGGGACGGGCCGCCGCCTGGGCACCGGCGCCCCCTGGCTTGTGTCTGAGGAACTGGTCTGGTGACCATGCGGGCCCCGTCGCTGCCCATGTCCTCTCCCCTGTGGTGGCCCCTGAAGCAATGTGATGATTGGACCTTCTTGTCACTCAACTGAGCACAGTTTATTTTCGGAGTTGCAGATAATTTATTATTGTTGTTATTTTTGCCCAAGAAGCGTCCGAAGCTCTGTTGGCGATGTGAGAATGTACGTCTTGATTTTCAGCATTCGTTTGCAAGAAGAATCCCAATAAACATGGTTTCTTGTTCCACAGCGAAGTCCCTTTGCATTTACCTTTTCCTTTAACTTCCCGTTGCGTCTGGAAGTCATGCTGGAAACCTCAGCAGCCTGTGGCCATGGTTAGGAGTGTGTGTTGTGCACCTTTCAGTCAGAGCTGACTCATAGCTGACCCTCCAGCAGATTTTCAGGGACAGTAAGTCTCACGGGAGGAGATTGTCCATCTTTGTCCCTCTGAGCAGCTGGTGGATCCAGACCGTTTCCCCTTGAGTTGGCTCCACAGCCCTTACAAGGCCACCAGTCTTGGTAAAATGACATCCTCCTTGGTTTTTTTAGCTCGTCTCACACATTTTTCTCATGACATTAGCATAATGCTGGGGCCACAAACGGAGGTGCCTGTGGGGAGCTTTTGTGGCCGATTGGGAAGGAACTGTGCTGTCAACCCAAAGGCACACTGTTCGAGTCCAGCAGGTACTCCATGGGAGAAAGATGGACATCCAGCTCTTGTGTGGTTTACAGCCCTTGAAAACCTGCCAGAGGGTTAGCTGTGAGTCCATCCTGACTTGACAGTACACAACAACAACAACACGGGACAGATAGGAGTCCTGAGTGAAGCTGGCAGCAAGTGAAGTGACATTTAAAGGGCAAATTAGTTTTCCATTTAACAATTTAAATACAGTTTCTCTTAAGTGGCTGCTTGCTGGCTTTTAAGTCTCAGAACTCATCAAGGTGGGACATAGAGTGCTGTTCTTTGCCCTTTGACCTTGATGTGCCCTGTGACTGTGGTCCTAGTTGACCTTGATATCCCCTGTGACTGTGGTTCTATTTGACCTTGATGTGCCCTGAGATTGTGGTCCTGTTTGACGTTGATGTGCCCTGTGACTGTGGTCCTAGTTGGCCTTGATATCCCCTGTGAGTGTGGTTGTATTTGACCTTGATAGCCCCTGTGTGGTTGTATTTGACCTTGATATCCCCTGTGACTATGGTCCTATTTGACCTTGTTATCCCCTGTGACTGGTTGTATTTGACCTAGATGTGCCCTGTGACTGTGGTCCTGTTTGACCTTGATGTCCCCTGTGACTGTGGTCCTATTTGACCTTGATATCCCGTGTGACTGTGGTTGTGTTTGGCCTAGATGTGCCTGTGACTGTGGTTCTGTTTGAACTTGATATCCTCTGTGCCTGTGGTCCTATTTGACCTTGATGTCCCCTGTGACTGTGGTTCTATGTCCCCAACCCCAGTGACTCATTCCCTCATGGCATTTGGCTATGGCTCGGCTGTTTCCAGAATTTCATACCTGTGTACTCCTCACCAGCCTTACTTATACTTGCAGTACCTACAGATACTTGTGTGGAAACAGCAGTGAGTGAATGTGTGTGTCCATGAGCACGTGGGCCTCGGTTCCTGCCTTCACCAAGAAGACCGCCCATTGTTCAAGAGGAAGATTAATCAGGAAACAGACTGGAGTTCAGTGAGCTGAGGGTCTTGGTGGAAAAAGCTCATGGGGTCACGGGAGCACAGAGAACTGGACTTGGCGCGGCTTCTGGGATGTGATACTTGAGTCTGTTAAGACAAGAATAGAGAAGGTAAAACTAAGGTGGAAGGCTTTGTTGGGCTTGAAGGACTCTCTGGCTCTTCATGGGCACCTTGGAAGCTGCTGTACCCAAGTGGCCTTTGCAGTGTTAACCATTTCACTGATCTTACGAGTGCTTTTGTGAAAATACACATTTAAAATTTTATTCCGATATAGCAATTTCTACAAGTACAGTTCATTGACACTGATTACAGACTTTGAGTGTTCAACTATTCTTGCCATTCTTTTCCAAACTATTCTACTACTATTGACATAAACTCTGTGTCCCCCAAGCAAACACTTTCTCGTCTTTCTCTCCTGCCTTTGGTAATTTGGATTAACCTTTCTGTATATTTGCTTTGACAAAGTTTCTCACCACTGAGCCAATTGGGAGCACCATGATGGATGTTGAAGAGATTGAGATAGTTAACAATCACAGCTTGCTTGGCTCCATAAATCAAAATACTCTTGGCATTGGCAGTCAAGAAATCAAAGGATGAATTACATTAAATCTGCTGTCAGGGACCTTCCCAGAATAATGAGAAGCAATGATAACAGTCTAGAGACTAAGGGGTACCTGATCCAGGCCATGGTCTTCACAGTTACTTTCTTTGCATCAGAGAACTGGACAGATGACTAAGGTTGACAGAAAAATTGATGCTTTCGAATTTTGGTGCTGGAGAAGAGGCTTGAATGTACCATGCATGACCAAGAAAACAAATAGGTCTGTTTCTGAGAGAGTGAAACAGAGTTTCTCCTTGGAGGCTAGGATTTTGAAGCTTTGTCTAACATAATTTGAGCACGGTGGCCAGGATGGCCCAGTCCTTGGAGAATGACATCATGCTTGGAAGGGTGAAGGGACAGCGCAGGAGAGGAAAACCCTGGATAAGGTGGACTGATACAGTAACTAGAATAATGGGGGTGGGTGTGTCAGTCAGCGAGATTGGCTGAGAACAGGGCAGGCGTCAGGGCTGTTGTACACAGGGTTGCCATGAGTCACAGGCAACTCGATGGCACATAACAACATGGTTGCTTATTTGATATAAATGAGATCACACCATGGCTGTCCTTTTGTAACTAACTGACTTTCCTCAGCCTGATGTTTTCCATGACTGCCCATACTATGGCAGACATGGGGACGTCGTTGTTCTCTGTGGCTTTGTTATGTGCTGTTGAGTTAGACCATAGCTGACCCTCCAGTGAGTTTTCAGAGGCTGCAAATCACAAAGGAAGAGGTTGCCCTTCTTTCTTCTCTCAGAGGCACTGGTGGATTTGAACCACCTGCCTTTGGTTTGGTAGCATAACCTCCTTAACCAGTAGGCTACCCGAACTCCCCTGTGGCTTAATGCTGTACGTGCTGTGGAAATGGAATTAACTCATAGCTGACACTACAACGGGTTTTCAGAAGCTGTGAATGGCACAGAAAGTGATTGTGAGATTATCTTTGTCCCGTAAGGCACCTGATGGATTCAAACTGTTTGCCTTTGGGTTGTCAGTGTAGCTCCTTACCCCCTAGGCCACCAGAGCCCCCTGTGGCTTAATAGTATTCCATTATGTTTTGATTTTGTTTCTTCAATAATCTGTTGATGGATTTTTAAAATTTTTTTTTTTGGGCGGGGTGGAAGGAACTAAACTCTTGGCTCTGGGACAGATTATATTAATAATCTATTTCTTGGAGTGTTTTCTGACTCTTATTCCAAGTGGACAGCCAGAAACAGGCATTTTAAATGTTAATGAGCCTTTTTTATTGACACAGTATAAAGGTTAAGAGCTTGTGAAAGATACAAGTAAATGTCAATACCTTTCGTCTAGGTCTGGACGCTGTCATTAAGTGCCAGTCTTCCCCCATCACTTCCACGGGTCACCTTTGGTGTTGGTTTAACTTCTAAGAAGCTATGCTCCTAACATCACATACTTGTTGTTCCCAGTCCATTTGAAAGTTGGGCCTCTTCTGTGTTTTGATGAGAAATTCTGTAAGTCTTCTGTGGGATACGAGTTCATAATACAGGATTTTGACTGGGGCAGAAGTTACATGAGACAATTCTCCTCCCCCCTCACCCTGTGAGATTAAAGAACTATCTGAGATGGTAGACTCTGGAAGAACCCTTTCACTTGCCCATTCGAGTGGGTATTTTGAGGTTGAACTTACCCTTGGAAGATTGAAATGATCCTAAAACCTCAGTCAGGGCACCTCAAAGAGTTCGGAACTGACCCATAGCTGACTCTTCAGCCAGTTTTCAGAGGCAGTAAGTCACATGGGAGGAGATTGTCCATCCTTCTTCCGTGGAGAAGCTGGGGGATTCAAACCTAGTGCCTTTGGGAGTGCAGTACGGCGTCCTAACTATCAGGCCCCTAGAACTCTGTCCAAGAGCTTAAGGAACTGCAGTAGTAAGGTGGTGTCTCTATGTTGAATCACTAGAATAGCGGGCTGTGACAGAAGTTGTGACATGTGGCTTCTGAGGCTAGTTCATAAAGGATGTTTGTACTCCACTTTTGCTCTAGGTGAGGGGACAGGGAGGCAGCCAGGTCTGTGGAGAGGGGTTTGGCTTCTTCAACAATGAGCCCAGCTTCCCCAGCCCCCTGAGAAGGGGATCGTTCAGCTCCCGTTTCAGGTTTGGATGACTGCAGCCCAAGCTGACATCTGACCGTGACCTCTGACAGATCCAATTGCATGCTGTGTGGCTGGGCTCAACCCAAACTGATCTATAGAGTCCTGCACATGCTAGCGATCATCTTAGGTCTCTAAGCTTCAGAGGAACTTGTGGAGCGTTAGATAATTTGAACAGTTGTTCAGTAGAGGTCTGTTGCCTGAATGGACAGTGACTGAGGAACTCCCGGCCAATTGACTCACTTCTGTTTTCTGCATGAGCTGATGCCTCTTTTGGTGTCAGGTAATGGAAACTGAACTCCAGTGAGTAACAATAGTGGATGGACTTGACAAGCAAGCACCTCCTCAGCCAAGCAGTCAAGGTCAGTATCAGCAATCTTGGAAACATCTGCCCTTGATAGGATGTGATGCAAATAGTGCTTCGCCTCTGTGATCAAGAATGGTCTTATGCAGTATTTGTCCTTATGAGACTGAGTTAGTTCACTTAGCATAATGCTCTCCAGTCTCTCCCACGTTAGGTAGTATTTTTTGAAATTATTGCTCCTGAATGCTGCACAGTATTCCATTGTGTGAG